TGTTTCTATCAACCCTACCATTGTTTGTATCAACCCTACCAGTGTTTCTATCAACCCTACCAGGTTTCTATCAACCCTACCTGTGTTTGTATCAACCCTACCTGTGTTTCGATCAACCCTACCTGTGTTTCTAACAACCCTACCTGTGTTTGTATCAACCATACCTGTGTTTGTATCAACCCTACCTGTGTTTCTATCAACCCTACCATTGTTTGTATCAACCCTACCAGTGTTTCATCAACCCTACCTGTGTTTCTAACAACCCTACCTGTGTTTGTATCAACCCTACCTGTGTTTCTAATCAACCCTACCTGTGTTTGTATCAACCCTACCTGTGTTTGTATCAACCCTACCTGTGTTTGTATCAACCCTACCTGTGTTTGTATCAACCCTACCTGTGTTTGTAATCAACCCTACCTGTGTTTGTAATCAATCCTACCTGTGTTTGTATCAATCCTACCTGTGTTTGTATCAATCCTACCTGTGTTTGTATCAACCCTACCAGTGTTTGTATCAATTCTACCTGTGTTTGTATCAACCATACCTGTGTTTCTATCAACCCTACCTGTGTTTCTATCAACCCTACCTGTGTTTGTATCAACCCTACCTGTGTTTGTATCAACCCTACCTGTGTTTGTATCAACCCTACCTGTGTTTGTATCAACCCTACCTGTGTTTGTATCAACCCTACCTGTGTTTCTATCAACCCTACCTGTGTTTGTATCAACCATACCTGTGTTTGTATCAACCATACCTGTGTTTCTATCAACCATACCTGTGTTTGAGCGTATCTTGCATTTTGATAGCAAACAACTGGGTCCGGTAATATTGCTAACAATCCACCATTATTGACCTTGGCATCTATACCCTGCATACTAATCAGGTTATTAACAGACTTATATACCTGCAAGATAATGAGATAATCAACAATGTTTTCAGTTGTGGTCAAATATACCAAGGATATATAAGATGAGGGTATGCAAAGAATTGATATGGTATGAAGATCTCACACGAATTGAAGAAGTCACGCAAACTGTGAGATGATCGCATAATCACAAAACAAACCAATAATTCCTGAAATTTTAAAGATAATTAGTGAGAAATTCTTCACTATAATGTATATTGAAATCAAAACACAAATAAGCATAATTTGAATAATTTGCATAATTAGCATAATCATCACAAAGATGATGAATAATTTGAAAGTATCACTAAACTGATTATCCAATATTTGAAATCACAATTCAACTGGCTATAACATTCAAAGCCATTGCTAGCATGATTTGGAATCACCACAAAAATGATTGGCATAATTTCAAATCACCACTAGAATGATTGGCATAATTTCAAATCACCATAAGGATGATTTGCATAATTTCAATCACCACAAAAATTATTGGCATAATTTCAAATAACCACTAAAAATGAATGATTGGCATAATTTCCTATCACCACTAGAATGATTGGCATAATTTCAAATCACGACTAGAATGTTTACCATGATTTCAAATCACGACTAGAATGTTTACCATGATTTCAAATCACAACAAGGATGATTACCACAATTTCAAACCACGACTAGAATGATTACCATAATTTCAAATCACAACAAGGATGATTTACCATAATTTCAAATCACGACTAGAATGATTACCATAATTTCAATGTACTCTACCTTTGTTGATCCTTGAGTAGTGATTAGTACAGAGCATCCATCACCCACTGTGACATCTAAGTCAATGTGATCCCCTGCTACTAATCCCCCACCATACGTAATAGGATACAACCATTGGGTATTCGAACTGCCAGCATACTTTGGAACCATTAACTTTAACTTAGAAAGTAAAAACATTAATATTACTACATGTTATCTATTACCCAGTCAAATTAAATGGCTGTTTCAAATTCAAAAATATTACCAAGACAGACATCCCCCTATTTGTTAATTAAAGAAATATATTTTCAGATTGGCAAAGTGAAAATACTGACAGTTACTCACAGGTTAAAAGAAACCATTTAGACAGTTACACACAGGTTGAGAATCATTGTGACAGTTACACACAGGTTGAGAAATCATTGTGACAGTTACACACAGGTTGAGAATCATTGTGACAGTTA